ATGCATTTAGATTTGAATTATATATATATCTTCAGTGCTTCACTGTTTCGTTCTAAGCTTGATCTTTCTGAATATTTGAGTGATACTGATATAAGCTTAAATGTAAACATTTAAATGACACGACATGAGAGACGATATATACAAGTGTTACCCAAACTTTTTCGAGTGCAACCCTAAAGAGTCTTAGCGGGGGATAGCGACCCTAAATGTGTGAACATCTAGTAATATATCCAACTATTTTCATGGTGTCATATCATACTGCAGATGTATATTAGATTACGTTATTCTATACTTTTATTGATTTATATGACCAACACATTGAATTTCAATAAAACAAGTGCTAATAAAAAAACATTAACTTTTGCTACATATCCAGGTGTGGATTCTTTCATTCTTCTTTTAAGACCTAGAGACCCTCAGAAAAGCCCTGGTGACTCATTTGGGTCGCGACCATGGGTTGGAACCACTGCGACATGCTATTGTGTAGTGGATATTTGCATACTTGAAGAAATACACCGACGGACTTACTGTATTGTGTCGGATACAGATTATGAGTTATAATCGATTTATTGAATATCATCTGCCAATGTCACATGTTCAATAAACTTTGAAATTATGCTGCTCTCTTCATCTGTCTCTCCGACCTCGCCTCGCTGTTTTCCATCTCCGACATCCAATTTCTTCTTCATCCAGTCTTCGATCTTTGTTTTCCTCTTGTCCTTTCCCTCTCCGTTTCGTTTCCATGGTCCTCCTCTCTGTTCCTCCTTCTCTTCTTAGCTCATGCCCAACCCTTACCCTGATAGGTGTTCAACAAATCTTTTCATCCCCAACCTGCCCAAAAACTTCTCCATTTGTCATCATTTCTACCCATGGTATCCTCATCCTTTTTTCTCCCAAAACCACATTTCCGCTGTTTCAAGCCCCCTTCATGTTATTGTTTATTGTTCATGACTCACATCCAGATGTAAATTCTTTAACAAACGTTTCTAATACCTGTTAATTCTAAATGGTATTACATCTATTTTATTGTAAACCTTCAAATGATTGTTTTTCAAATTTGAAGGAATGAAAATTAAGTATTTGCCCCACATCCAGTTTAAACCTAGACATCAAATACCACACTTAATGTCAGCTTTTAGATGAAATATTATGTGTCTTTCAAACTTTCAGTGAAATCCCAAATAAAACCAGAATTTCCTTCAGGTAAATCCAACGGCACCGAGGAAGGTGAGTCTCAGGCGAAGGCGAGAGGACCACCTGTCGAAAAAGCTGGTGCCCCCAGATGGCGGTTGGGCTGGTTCATCGTGCTTGTAGTGGTATCACGATGGTAGGAAAGGTGATAAAGTTTAGTGTGATAAACTAAAAAAAAAAGGCAGTGGCAGTATGTGCTTAGGTAGGTTACGGGATACAATCGTGATTCATATTTACAACCTTATAAACATGTAAACAAAAACCTTTATGTTTCGCAGTTCGTGTTACCGAGTCTGTCTACCTGCTTCGGTCTGATCTACGTGCACCTGGTGGCGTCCGGCTACACTAACAGCCAGGTGTCGCCCATTCCCGGCCTGATGTTGGGATGGCTGCCTAACAGGTAAGTTCTCAGTCTAGTTTCAGTTTTCAAGGAACGTTGCTAATAGGTATGTGTTGTTTTACATAAGAGATCCTTTTTCTAATTTTTTTTTTTTTTCTGCGTTGGCAAAATTAGTGAATTAGTTGTAGGCAGTGAATAAACGAAAACACCTTCAGCATTATTGTAGTCGGCGTCTATGAAACCCAGAAAAGATAAGAATCATTGTATTATTTAGATTAAAGAGTTTTTAAAATCCATTGCGCCACATCTGCCCTCCAAGGCAGCAACTTTCACCTCTGTAACAACACAACTGGCGCACACAGGTCCCGTAGCAACAAGCCTCACCCGCTACTACAGTCACCGACGCCTGAGTGTCATTGGGATCTGCTTGGCGGTGACGGGCGTTTTCTTGTGTGCCTTCTGGATGACCTCGTTTGGTATTATGTTTGCTTCGGGTCATTGCGGGTAAGCGTTCTGCATTTTTTCTTTATATCGTCCTGCATCTATTTTTCTTTGATATAAATGGGACTTGGATTTGATGAGAAGCATACGTATAGCGGGTAACAGTCTTTTTCATAGTATGTGCGTTTCGGAAAGGTTAGTTCAAACTCGACCATCGGAAAGAGAACTGCCGCTTGCAACGTCTCATTCACAGTCGCTCTTCAGACCTGTCAGTCGTCGGGGAAGGTTCTTGGTTTCCGACATAAGAAAATGCTAACTTGCATTTTCTTTGTTTTCTGATATATACACTATATATATATATATATATATATATTATATATATATGTATATATATGTATATATATGTATATATGTATATATAAGTATATATGTATATATATATATATATATATATTATATATATATATATATATATATGTATATATATATGTATGTATATATATATATATATGATATATATATATGTAT